ACCATTTTCAAAGCCAAGAACACTTGAGGAAAAAAAAAAAACTGAAAGTCCTAGACGTTTTCCACGTACTTCTGTCCTCTTTTGATTCTTTATCTTTGTGCTTAAACGGCAATATCACTCAATCTCACTAGCTCCATTCGGAACATTCCTTTCAGAACGTTCAAATATAATAGCAAACAACCAGTGTCATTTTGGGGTGTAACTCCTGATAGGCCCAAATGAATTTTGGTGTGTGAAACATTTTGCAAACGGTCCCTGCAAAATGGGGAAGTTCCATTTTAAAGGAGAATATTTTGTTTCCTATTCAAGTACGAGCAGCAGTGAACCATACATCAGACCATCCAGGCAGCACATCTTCAGTTTCTCATTTCGCGACAACCGATTATTAATTGCACAAATCCGAGCCAGTACACAGAAGGAAGAGCAGGTTTACTTTTTGGTTTAACAAGCAACTTTCCGGATTCATTAACTGCCCCTTCTTGCACTAACTCATAACTAACTCTGGGTAAAAGTTCAATCTCTTGCTTTTAACCGGGCCCCAAATCATACACCAAGCTACACATAACGCAAAGGCAGAAGACAAGATTAATGAAAACCAACTAGCTTCTCGTGCTTTTCTGAAATTGATCAAAACTAAATGAATTAAAGTATGCGAAACAAAATGCTAATTAAAGAACTTAAGCAAAATCATAATAGTAGATTAATCATATCCATGACGACTTCACCCACCCTCCCCAACCTCACCCCGGGGGGAGGGGGGGGGGAGAGGAGGGTGGGGGGAAGAGCAAGGGAGTAAAGTGGCAAAAAGTTTACCTCGGCATAAGTATTCAAACAATACGGCGTAATAGCAGCGTTTGGATCTTGATAATAGGGAGCAGAGGCAGAGGCCACGGCCTGGGAGTAAGTGTAGGCCAAGCTCAGTTGGGGCGCTTCATAACCAGAAGGAACGTGGCTGCCAATCGGCTTCACAGTCACAGGCGTGCTGGGATCAACCCCAGGTGGTTGAACTATTAGCGCATTCAAACTACTACTTGTAAAGCAATTAGGATCAGAGTTAGGCATAGGGTTTTGGGATTGGAGGTAATAAATTTGTCCAGGATACGAATCTATCTGTACAGTTGAGGAGGAGATTGTAGGCGGGTTTAATAATGGTGGGTTTTGCTGCATTTCATCCCCCATCCTGCTATTGTCCATGAGACTCCGCTGCTTGGGGATTTACATTCATCAGGGTTCAGATTCAGTCCGGGGGAAACAGAGGAGGATTTTTCCCCTTTTTTAAGACAAAACAAGAAGTTCGTGAATATGGATTTTGCTTCAATAAAACGTGTGGGTGTATGAGTCGTAAGCCCAAGGTGTGAGGTCCAACAATGAGCCCAGTTTGAATGTAATAGTATGGCCGTAGACGACAACCCAAGCCATTCATGGGCAATGTCAGTAATAGTGTCCCACGGGGTTGGTCCAGTAATAACAGCGATCTTTTGGGACGCAAAGGTCTCGGAATCGAAACTATTTCCTGAAATACCTTATGACTAGTCCGTGTAAACGTTGCATAGAGTCACAGCGTTGCCCTCTAATTTGGTGTGCTGACTCGGATCCAAAAAACTTGAGTCAAAGCACGTTCCGAGTTACAAAAAAAAAAAATGTAAGTAATAATACGACACCCACGCCAAGTGCCCAAGACTTGAGCTCGCTTGTTACTAAAGGCGCAAGAATGGGTGACTCAAGCAGTTCCAAACGGTCATAATTGGAACAATCGATTTATATTCATTTAACAAATGGATCAACTCATTTGTGCCAAATAAAGAAGAATTGCCATTGCCAAATAACCAAAAAATATATTCTTATCATAGCCAATATTTTGATGATAGGCATTCATAACAAGGGATGATCTAAGATTAATGAGTAGACTTTTGACTAAACATTTAGAGAGGTAGGCATGCAGGTGAGCGACATTAAGAAAATGCCTGATATGAGAGAGAGGAAGAGAGGCGTGATCATAAAATATAACTTATAACAGTATCGAGTAATATATTAACCACAGCCTTCTTAGGCTCCCCCTCCCCCTAGATTAGGATAGAGTAGGTTATACAAATGTATCGTTGCTGACAAAAAAAAAAAGTAATATATTAATATGTAATATGATATATTAGTAGGCCTAAAATATATAAAATATTTAATTAAAATATGAAATTCAATAATTCATTTGGTACTCGAAAATTTGGAAATTGAATTTCAATATCCGTTTTTAAACTATTTTATCAAATATTAGAATTGGATCTTAATCGATTTTTCCGAATTCCATTTTATCGATATTTCAAAATTTTTTTTTTTTTTGAAGTGTGAACACCACTAGCCGGCACCATGACAGCAAGCCAAATTACGAAAGACCCACTTAATTTAATCCATACTACAAAATAACCGATCCATCACTCAAAAGCCAGTGGAATTCATCCAAATTACCAAATAACCAACACCAGTCAAAATAAATGCCCCGCTCGAAGTAATTGCACCGCCCAAAGTGCACTGCTGAATTCAAGTGAATTGCAGTTCCAGTTGGGAAAAACCACAGCAATTGTTGTAAATTACCAAATAACCAAATCCAGTCAAAATAAATACATAGCCCAGTCAAAACAATTGACCAGCTCAATTGGCAATCCAATTCTACCCATTCTCGTTTTTATAGTAGTTTAGACTGTTATGAATATACCTAATTTTTAGATTGCTATGAATATATCTAATTACCTATTTATAATTCACTTGAAACTCTATAATTTTTTTTCTCTTTGCATGTGGTTTGAGAGGAAATAACGACATTTTATTGTGATCATATTGATAAGAAATTCAAATTTATTCCTTTATATACGCCAAAAATTGAATTTAATGTGTAATTATTTTAAAATGGGTGGTGGATGAGATTCCTAAAAATAAATACAAATTAAAAGAAGACATTTATCGATTGCACATCTCCTCTAAGGCCTCGTTTTGATTGCTACTTTTTGAAGCTTTCGTAAAAAAATATATACTAATTTAATGTACGTGATGTAAAAATGTGATTAAAAAATATATTCACGAAAAATATAAAATTTTTTTCCTCGAAAACTTGCAAACCAAACAACATACAGATGCGGGGCAACAAAGAATTTGAGCCACAGAGATTGTTTTAGAATTCTGTTGGCCTCTGGCAAAACGGAAAATATTAAACACCCATTGACGCGATTGCACAGATTGGGGGGTGGGCTAATGCGTAATGCCCTTGGACTTGTGGACCGATAGGGATGTCAAATGGTCAAATTCAGCAGGCACATTGCGCCATGACGGTCGCGGCGGGAGCCTTCATCATTAAACACCGAAGAAATTATTTTACTTAGCTGCTAGTCGCATCCAATAAAATAACTAAACTGCATAAAGACTTGCTAAAAGCCTAAAGGAAAAGAAACATGAGAAGCCCAACTGCCTGACTATTTCACCAATGTCTGCTTTTACGCGGTGTGCTCTTCTTCTTCAGGAGTATAGGGAGAGAGACGTGTGCTCTTCTTCTTCCCCGGTGGATCACTTTTTTTCTTTTGTTTTTTGTTTTTTTCCCCATGGTGGATCACTTCACAAGGTATTCTCTTAATATACAAAATAAATGCTTTACAAAATTGCACAACTGGTAACTTACCCAAAGCAAAATGTCACCGCCAAGTAAAAGTACTTTGAGGGCAAAGTATATTTGTTACTTTCGTAAACTCTCTCCCAACAGTCGAAGTCATGCCCTCCAGGGGCATGCAAAATTATCCGCAAACTCGAAAATTCGATGTACTCGATGCGAAAATTAGGATATCTGATCTGTATTATTTGATCGGATCAATAAAGGGTTGGGTACCCGCTAAAATGCGAAGCGGATTAGGGTCACATGATTAAAAATCGGTGGGTATCTGATCCAACCCGCCTCGCATGTATATATTTTTTACTTTTTAAATTTTTATACACATACTATAAAATAATATTTTTAAAAATAAATAAGCAATTTTATTGAACAAATTGTATTACAAATATGAGAGATTATAGTTTATCTATAAGATTCATTTGTAAAGATCATGATCTTATGTTTTATAGAAAAGAGTTTAATTAAATATGAAATATATATTTTAAAAAATATGCTACTTATTTTAAATTTTTATTGATTTTGAATTCTTTTAATTTTTTCCTCTTTTTTTGTATTCTCTTCGCATGTTTGTTTCTTAGTGGGAGACCTTTTTGAAAAAAAAATATTTATTAAATTATAGATGAATGTGTAAAATATAAAATTAAATTAGTATAAATCATTTTTTTTAAAAAAAATTAAATGATAAGTTGGGCGGAAGATGTACCCATTGATCCAATTTTATCCGATTAGGGTCAGAAAATAGTTGACCCGTAAGGTACAAGTCGAGTCAGCCAAATGGGTATCTAACCTGCGTTGCCGTCTACCTATTTTTACTATTAAAAAAAATGTTTTAAATTACGAGGACAAAGTGTTAAAGAGAAAGATCGAGGGGCCACGAAAAAGATAGGTTGATTTTAAATATTTGCCCAACACGTAAGAGACCTTGAAGAGGTGCATGAGCTTTGTATATTTCCAACTAAAAAGATAAAGACATGGCACTAAGATAGTAGTCGTTCTGATGTACATGGTAGGTGACTAAACAACCACCTTAATCTCAGACGCCATCTTTTCTGGATTTTAATATTGCTTAGAGAAACATCAAGCGTGCTTTCTTCCAACTAACTGGAACAGATTAATGACCTCTTAGCCATCCGTTGAACAAAATGCACGGTCACTGAACTACATGTAGCCCCTCAACCTCCAGTCATTGACAAAACGTCAATAGCAGCAGGCCTTCAACAATGCTCAACAGATACAAGGCAAATAACTTGCAAAGAAAAACAGCATAATCAAGAGACTATTGCCCACCCATCTTTGTTGCCTTGGGAAAATGAGGCACAAAAGTAGGACGGGAAAACAAAAAGAAAAACCATTCAGTGACAATCCACAAGTAAGGTCCATAAAATCGTTCAATTGATGAATAGATGAACAAAATATGAGCTTTGATGTATTAACAATTCAGACTTTCTGCTGGTTAACTGAAGACAAGAAGAAATCAATATGGAGAAAAATGTCAACGCTACTGAAACTATCAACATTTCTGAATCTACCAGCAAAATCAGCCTGAATCTTCTCTTCCGTTTTATAAACTGTCAGCCACAATATTTCAAGGGACGAATATCAATGTCAAATAAGAGTAAAATGAGTCTTCACTGTGTATGACCTCGGGGAAAATGAGGATCAAGTAGTTTCTCAATTGGAAATCACCAGGGGCTCATACCATGCCTTGAGGCTAATACCATCATCTCTGGCCCCTGGATGAGTGATTACTGGGAGATTCAGATCAAAGACATTCTGAATATCACGAAGCTCCTGATTTGCAGCTGTCATCTCCTTAATTCTGCTCTCACTAAAACCAGCATAATGTGCCCTCTTGTGACCACCTAGAGCTTGGCCTGTGGAGAAAACCTTGAAGCATATAGGACACTCATGGTCCTTGGTTTTAGTCAACTGCAAATCTGCCATGGCCACTCCATCACTACCAGCCTCAGCCGAAGTGCCATTGCACTCAATATCAGTCAGATGGCTGGACTCTGTGCCCGAAGCAGAGCAATGACCATTTATTTTATGTTTATTGCTGTGACCTCCCAGAGCTCGATGCGAGCTAAAGCTCATGTTGCAGGCCCTGCATCTGTACTCTCGTTTCTTTTCTGAAATCTTGAAGATTTCATCAGCAGTATCTGCTCTGTCGGAAGAACATATCTCTAACTCTGGAGCATGAGCATTGAACTCTACTTTCTTACATGGATTAGGATCCATCAATTGTATATCTTCTTGATCCATTCCAACTGCCTTACTTTGATCCTTCAAGGGTTCAACTACTCCAGCAGAATCAGAGCCATCCAACTCAACACCAGATACATCAAGCAGCCTAGACTCATTGGTTCATGAACATTGTAGCCCTGTGTCTTAGCTTTGAAACGGCATAAGTTCAATCCGATAAGCGTAGCCTCGGATGTGTTATTTCCGCAACCACACGTCGAATCTGTCTTTTGCTAGATTGTATTTCTGCACTTGTTATTACTTTAATTCTTATTCTTATGATGTTATGAGCCTATGGAACGGCTTTTGACTTGAATTTCTGATATGTGTGACTTTGGGTTTTGGCTGAGGAAAAATAATGAAGCCTAAATGGCTGGAAAATTAGGTAAACACAAAGGGCATGCTGCCAAATTTTCACGAGAAAGATAAACTAGCCTTTGGAGTTCTAGTTCTATATTTGGCAAATTTGACTTGGATACACTGAAAACTAGGTTGAGGTGTTTTCATGAAAGTTGTAACTGTTTGTCTAAGCTTCAAGACACTACCTAGTACATTCTGATCTGATAACCACAGCTCCAGTTATGGGCAAAATCGTGTAACCCATTTTGTACCATTTTCATTTCCGCGCACGCCCGATGCATTCCTTTATTGTTTTTCCGCTTTGATCGTTTTAGTCCTTATTTCCATTTGTGATCTAGGGCGTGGACTTGAGCAAGACAATAATAAATGATGGATGAGGTTCGTGAGTCGTGGTTGGTGAGTGATCTCTCAACTATTTCCAAAGTTACTTTGAACTAATTCTTGCATTTATTACTCCATTGCATATCATTTGGGTTTGGGTGTGTGCCATGACATAATTTGGCTCCAATGAGTTCCTGGAAAGTCTTGTGCTTAGAACCAATATCTCCACTACTGTTTACACATTCTTTGGAGTACGATGGCTCCTTACTTCTGTTTCACGGTTACCTGATCTAAATGAGCATTGGGTATTTAAGTACAAGAACTTCACTGGCTCACATGAGCAATAAATGAACATTTGATTACTGCATCATGACATCATATCAATGCTTTATTGTGAAATATACTTGGTTGTTGCTTTTACTAGTCACTCACTGAGCTTCTAGCTCACCCCCTATTATCTTCTTCTCCCCACAGGGATCGAAGTAAAGGAAGAACTTGTTTTTGGATCTTTGTGTGGCTGGATGGTGTACATCTTGTATAGTTTAGATTTGATTTTGGTTTATGTACCTTTGGGCTTGTATAAATATTTGGAATTGAATCGGATGTATATCTACATTCTACGCTTAGAACTAGTTTCCGCTTCGCTTATGATATGTAATTTTGGAGAATTGGATGTATTATTCGACTTGTACCTTGTAATTTACTTGAGGAATGTAGTAAGTAAGTGAGTCCCGGCAAGAGTTGGGCAGGCGGTCCGCTAAACCCTTTGGTTCGCCTTAGGGGGAGGTGGGGTCGTCACAGTTTGACTTATCAACATTTAAAAAAATATATATATATACTTGATCTTGGACATACCCTACAAATGTATTGTAAATTTTTTGCCTCAGTTTGAATTTATTTGATGAGATCTCACAAATCTATAACAAAAAATTTTGCCCCAATTTGGGCTTATTTTAGTTGCAAAATAATCAGACGCAATGTGAATAGAAACTACATATTTCAAATGAAAAAATTAAATGTCATATCGAAACTCACATAGAAGATTCCATGATAAGTCTCTCAGAATAGGACCAAATTGCAAAAGATCTCTTCCTCATTTTGGGATTGGTGTTGAGGGAAAAGGGTCCCCTTTTTGTTAGCTCATCTTTTAGGGCCAATCAAATAAATATTATTCAGGATTTGAGGTGGCTCAGGGAGATTGTATATCCGGATCTGTCTTGTTTTTGTTCCAAGATGGTATCTAATACATTCAATATCACATCTTGGTGAAAGCAAATAGTTTATCACCCTTATTTCTTAAGAAAATTCAATCAACATATAAGCTCTATGGACTTGTAATGTATGGGTAGAAACAATAACTAAACATTCAGAAACAAGTTATGGCCTTATGATCACGAGTGAATGGTAGGTTCCTTAGAGGCAAGATTTTCACTTCAAATTGTCATGAAAGATAAGTCAACAAAGGACTTTATGAGCTTGTAATGTGGCTTGACAACGATAGCTAAAGAAATAAACTTTTCAAGGACAACGCACTTAAGATCGCATTCCTTCAAAAATTGCCCCAATTTTGGATTTAAAATCCGGGACCCCATTTGACTCTCTCTCTCTTTTTTTTTTCAATCACTAAAGGGAATTCAGCATTGGATGTCTTTGCTTTTTTCTTTTCTTTTCATTTCATCATCATTTTTCACATTTTTCTTTTCTCTTTTTTTTTTACCAACACTGATATCCCAATGTCAATGATAAAATTGAAAACTCCCTAATTTGGAGTGTAGATGGCCCTTCTTTCTTTCAATATTGAAGACCAAATATCAATGGTAGAGTCAAACTCCCCCAACTTGTAGTTTTTTCTCCTCTCTTTTTTTTCAAATCTCCTTCCCCAGTGTGGGGGTGCGATCATAAGTGATTTTGAAACGAACCACCAATTTAGGCTCAAATAAGGATGCAAGGGATAAACAGTGTTTAGATGGTAGAAACAATGGCCAAAGTATCATTCTTATTTCTCATGACAACCAAAGTAAAGAATAATCCGTTGGGAAAATCCATTTCCTTTTGACATTCGAAAATTTTTCATGCAAGGTCATGATCATTTAGGATTTTATTTGAAACGAAATCCTATTTTTAAAGGCTCAAATGGGAAAACAAATGATAGAATCTGTATAGATAGATAAACGAAAGCCTAAAGTATCATTCCAAATTTTCAAAACAAAATAAGAAGTAATGTACATTTTTTTGTTTTCACTCAGATGTGGATTGAATTTGGTTAGACACACCGGACATTTTCACGAAAAAAATTATCTCACTTTGAAGCTAGTCAGCCAATGCAACTGATCTTGGAGGTTCAATAGAAGTGGACAAAAAATGAAAATGAAAAGTGTTAGGGTTGATCTTTTATTACAAGCTATCAAATTTGAATGACCCCTTTTATTTCCGACTATCCTCATTGAATAGTTTAGGCCACAAATCTAGTGTATGCAAAGAATTTTGGGAATTGGACATGCACTCATGAATTTCAAACAAGAGGTCGAAAAAATTTCAATTTAGCCTTATTTCTTAAAATCTATCATGAAATCTCCCAATGAGCAAATAAAGAATGAATATATAAAAAACAATAATTGTCTAAATAAAAACTTTATTATTCAAATGTTTGAAAATTTTTTTTGTCAAATATAATACATGTGAGCAAATAAAAATCTCTAAAGAATACACTTTCAAATATATACACACTTTCTCTTTCTATCTTTTGAGACAAAATATATCTGAAACAATGAATCAAAAGATTTTTGAGATACTTTACACTAGCGTTTTCAAATGGATTTTTCATTCATTTTTTTCATCATCATTTTTTTTTTACATTGTAGAATCTGCCCAAGAATCAAGTAACACTTGTAATTTTCAAAATTTATCAGACCAAAAATATTATCAGATATAGGAAAAATATTTTACCTTGTTGAAACAACTTTTATAAATGTAGGGGAGGGGGAAAAATAAAAGAAAAATACCTAGAGTTAGTAAGCAAAACTGTAAAATCGGTATGCATGTCCTATGGGAGACCCCTTTTATGCCAAGGGTTGGCCTAGTATGAAAAATGCAATCCTCTGGGGTAGGCACCATACCATACCTGATGGATCCGATCGACTTATTGAAATTCAATTGAAGTGCATTTGAAACAAATTGGACTAATTGGGTTTTTTTTTCGACAATGATAGATAACTAACAAAATGAGGACAAAGTCCGAATGGATTGATTGCTTTGATTGACACATAAAGTGATATTAAAAATCAATTTAGTGTGAAAAACTTATTTTTGAAAGGATTGAAATGTCTCGACTAGTTTCTTCAATGAACCATAGATCGAAACTTTAAAAAAGAATAAATGGGTTAAATGAATCGAATGAAATTGATGGTTAGTTCAAAAATTGACTGGATTATCCTGAAAGTGGATAAAACTGATCCAATGGATTGGATGAAATTGAGAATTTATTCAAAAAAATAAAATTGACTAAATGAATAATGAATTGAATGGAATTGATGATTTATTCAGAATTGATTGTATTGTCCTAAAAATGAATAAATTGGTCAAATGGATTTAATAGAATTGACAGTTTATTCAAAAATCGACCAAATTGTCCTAAAAAAGAATAACGAATTGGATGGAATTAATAATTTATTCAAAATTGCCCGAATTATCGTAAAAGTGAATGAACGAATCAAATGGATTGAATGAAATTGAAGATTTATTCAAAATTGGTTGGATTGTCCTAAAAGAGGGTAAATTGGTTGAATGAAATTGATGATTTATTCAAAAATCGATTGAATTGTCTACCCATTGGTGGTTTCAAAAAATTCATTGCAATACATTAGCCTATGAGCCTTCTAAAATCAAGATTTGGCCTCAATATATTTACCATCTCAACAATGAGGAATTATTTGTGAATTTTTTCAATTTAATGTCCTTTATGCAAAGGGTTCTTTACCAATTTTTGATAAAATGGCCAAAAAGTGATTATTAGATGTTCATATTCTAACGTGCAAAAACAAATTGCTCTATTATCTTCAAAAAGATCGGATCCTTACCTTACCTCGTGCATTACCCCTTCGGACAATACAAGAAATATAAACGTGCAAGTCTCCTTCGATTAGGTATCCGAGACATGAGGTGACTTTATTCCTAAAAGGATTCCCTATGCGGCATTCCCTTTATGGTTCATGCATGCTACCAATTTATCAAAGCGACTAAATATGCAGTACACAAATGAAACGTGACCTAAAGGAACCCTCTTTTGTATGCCAGGGTGAGCCTAAAATGAAATATATTCATGCTACAAATGCGAAGCTTTGAATTTAAACGTGTCACGTCAAATAGGGTAGGCTCCTAGAGAGTACCATGCCAGGACTCTTATTTTCTAGGGCTTAGGAATGCAATGAAGACAAAAAAC